CGGGGGGGGGGTGGAGAGGAACCTCAGGTGCTAAGGATTTTAGCACCAAGATCTGTGTTGCATTCCTAAATGCAATATTCCTTGTTCTTTCCTACCCACACTCATCTCTGCTGAAGTAAACAGAAACTCTGCTTCTATTCAGCTGGATTCAAGAGAAGTACGATAGAAATACTCTTTGGACCACTGGGTCCAAAATAGGAGAAAAAAAATTAGCCCATTTTGAAAACAAGACTAGGAAAAATAAAAATGAACCACTTCTGATAGCCACAGAGTTCATCAATGTCAAATGAAGCACAGGAAAAACTACACTATCACTGAAGGTACTTATGTTGATTATCAGTATATCTCACTGGAAAGAGATGTATGCAACACTATGGTAAAAGCTAAATCTTTTCTAAGTTTATTTCCATGGGACACTAGGTTTTTCTCTCTCAGGAACCTGAGTTCTAAACCTAAATCCTGTCCTAATATGTGGGTCCCCTTAAAAAGTTAATTCCATTTTTAAAGGTATTACCAATTCTATTTATTGAATACTTAAAGTATGCAATACCTCAAAAGCAGAATGAACTTAAATAAACTATAATTATTCTAAGACAAGCATCAGAAACTAAAATCAACCAAAACACCCCATGATCTTTGTTTTCTTGAATTTTACTTGCTTCAATTCTAAAACATACCTGAACTCTGAATTTCCAGGTTGTTCCAACAGGAACACCAGGTATAGGTCCATAGTGATTAGAAGGAACAATAGTGCATTCCTTGGTGCGCCCAACACAGGCCATACCCTAAAATCAGAACAAACAGAAAATATTAATGTTATGATCTTCAAGTTTTTAGGAAAAGTCTAACGTGAACAAGGTTTTCTTGTCATTAAAAGGACATTTTTAAAACTAGATTGATTAAAAAATTGTTAACAACAATTTTAAGTGCAATCTAATGTTTGTTTATGATATCCTTATCTGTAAGTCATCCTTAAAAAATATTTTTAACTTCTTGGAGACAATGTGCAAAATTCAGTATTGTTTTACAAAAAGTGTAATTTCAACGATGAATGTATAAGTTCTGCCTACTTTGTGGCATATAATACAATACTAAATTATGCACAATAAAGATATATGCCTGGTTACAGGTGGAACATATACATACACACATAATGTAGTATTTTTTTTCCTAAATATACTCTACCTTGCCCCAATCTCTCTGGCTCTCAGTACTGGCAGATGGCATCTTTGCTTTCTTTTTACTCTGTTTGAGTTTTTCCCCAGCCTTTACAACTTCATTAGAATCATTTTTGCAGGAAGGACAATACCTAAAAAAAAAAAAGTTTTGACACATGTTGAATTGCTCAATATAACGGCAACATACTTTGTATAGCTAGAATGGTGTTGACTTTCAAACTTAACTGAACATTTTCAAGCTAGTATTCTGAGCTGAGGAAATAAACCTAAAAAATATCAGCAACCTCCAAAATAATCCTAATAGTATTATTATAATAATGCTCTATACTTATATTGTACCTTTTATCTTAGAGTCTCAAAATACTTGATGAATTATTTATTTTCTCTCAATCATTTCCAGATCACGACAGTCTAATTTACAAGTAAAATTTTCATCTGACAGCTATGCAAAATCAACTTGAAATCTGACAGTCAGGCTAGATTTACTTTTTGCATATCACCAGTAATTAAAATTCTGTAAGCCAAATTCCACTTTCAATTCAAAACTGTACCATCTCTTAGTCTTCCATAGGGATAAGAGAGTGTAACAGAAGGAAGACTTGGCTTTGAGACTGAATCATAATTAACAACTCTACAAGACTCCAGCTTTCCTCTAGCTGTTGGTACTGCAAAATAAGGTGTAAAAACACCTTTTTAAACATATGGAGGAGGTCTCCTGAATAAGAAGCTGCCATTTTCACTTTTCTGCCATAATCACACTAAGTAATGGTGGCATCACCCTATATTATAACAAACCTATTACATACAATTGAGGCACAAAGATAAAGGAGTTTCCTCAAATTTGTAACAGTGATGCAAATACAAGTTAGAAATCTCCACTCCCCATACAGACACATTTATGAGAAAACCAGTCTCTTCCAGATTTCTGTAAGCAAGCAGAAGTGGCAGACATGACTGCAAAAGTTTCTTTTAAAACTCTCTAATTCCTGTTTTTAAGTCACAAATCATTTTATTTTGGGTTGAAAATTTTCAGAATGAATAGTGTCTGAAAGTGGACACTTCTACTCCATTCATTAAAAAAATATACAGTTCATCCACTTGCAAGTCAACAACTGTAAAACAATGTTTCCTACGAGAAACACTTCAAGCCTGATCCAGCCAGCAAATGGGCACTCTACATCTAATCCGAAGCCTAGTACTTAAGTAAACGAGCAGCCCCACTGAATTGGAACATGTAGTGGTAAGAGAGGCAATGAGACTGTTCCTTTGCCTTAAGTAAAGCAAATGATTAAGCGCTTTGCTGTATCATGCCAGCGTGCTCTCCACCTTCCACTATCAAGGAATTCCCTTCAGGGCCTTGAGTCTTCCATTGAAAACTGGTGTAGATTTGACCTAGTTAGCAGTCTTTTAAGTCACACGCCACGCATAGTACAGTACACTTTGTACTTCACTTTTGGCTAAGCTTCTAAAGCAAGCAGCTAAGGAAAGTTGTGCTGTGTATGCTAGTTTCTGTCAAGTGACACAGTCCTTAAGTTACTGTATAAAGAAAAGCTGTGTGATTTGTTAAAAATGCTCATACTACAATACATGGATGTTGATGAACAAACTCTATAAAAAACAGAAGAAGTTTAAGGACAACTCCTGGCTACATTAACCTCAAGCTGCAAAACCCACATCAGCTTCAATGGGGCATGATTTGACCCAAAAATCAATAGAGATACCAATTAGAACAACAAAATAAAAAGACATGAAAATACTAGAGTCTGCAGGCACCCTTCTAAAGTTTTAACAAAAACTTAGGTTATATGAATGGTGTTGTATTGTGCTATCTGAAGAACAGAATGCAATAATCATAATGAAAAGTACTGTGCCATAATGCACACTCACAAGAGGGCAAATTTAACTATGGCAATTCTTGCTTTATGACTGCTTAGCCATGCACTCTTAATGTTTCCTTCACTGAGTTTTTGTATGGAATATTAAATACTGTTTAGCATATAAATAGTGATATTAATCTGTATGAGAATGCCTTATCAGCATTTCCCAAAGTACAGACTGGGAACCAAGGGGGTTGGCCAACTTCAAATTAACAACATTTAAAAATGAAAACTTTTTCTATTTAAAATAAACAAAAATCTGGTAGCCAATCATACTGTGCAGTTACCTTAAACTAGCAAGCAAGGAGGGAAGAAAACAAGGCACTGTCCTTCCTCAATATTCCTGTGCTGGCACATTACTACATAGTTGCAGTCCTTTTACACACAAATGAACAACAGGGCTGCACATGGCTAGCACTACAAAGCAACCCAAAAAGGGACTACAAAATAGGCAGGACCACATGGTTCATTTTCCCCAACTTGGCTTTATCTATTTCTCCTTGTTATTAAATCACAGAACCCGAATGACTATAAAAGCAAATGAAATCAAAATTAAACACACAAAAGCAATTTCCATATTTTATCAATAACTGAAGTTCTGTGAGATGTTTTAACAGCATCAATTCAACTTCTCTATGCATAAGTTCAAAATCCTTGGCCAGAGTTACCTATGGAGAACTCTACCCTAAATGCTTTTGGTCTCTCAGGGCGTGGAAACCCCACCCCCAGCGCTTTATTTTCAGCTCGGCACACTCCTGCACTGAGCACAGCACATGCCCAGAAGAGGAATTGTGTCAGTTTGATACAGCTTGCCCAGTGTTTCTATAGCTTATGCACTCCATCAGGGTTTTTTGGTGCTTTTATCTAATAGATGATTTAGATAAAAGCATGTGCCCCCCAGATCTGCAAGCAGGGCAAGAGCAAGCTGCTGCTGCAAGATGGAGCCCGGAGCAGCGCTGGGCTCTTCCTAATAGGGGGGCTGGGCCAGGGCTGCACATGGTGCAGGTGGCGGTGGCAGTGCTGGGAGGGGGGTTACGGGGTCGGCTGTGACCAACCCAGAATTTGCTGTAACCCCTCCTCGAACCTCCCTTCCCAGCACCGCCACCGCCAGCCCCACACACAGCCCTGGCCCCCACCAGGAAGAGCCGGCACTGCTCCTGGCCCCAACTCACAACAGCAGCCCACTCTCATCTCATGCACAGAACCAGGGGGCATGTGCCCCTCCGTGCCTCCCCTGGCGTGCACCAGTGGTGGGAGCTGCTCCCTCCCCCGCCCCCCAAGCCCCCAGAGGAGCCATTTGCAGCTCCATCCCATGCCTTGCCCTGGCTGAGCTATGCCCTGCCCCAGCCCCACTCCCCCCCTCACTGTGGGGGCCTCCATCTGCCCTCCCACCCTTTCTCCCCCACAGACTTACCAGCCAGACGCTGCTCTCCAAGCTGCCAGGTCGTACGCATGCATGCAGAATTCATTGGCAACATTTATCGGCCACATCAGCCAAAAAAAGCCAATTGCCGATAACATCTATTTTGCTTTTATCAGTGCCAATACAACCCTTTTGATTAAACTTGGCATTAGACATGGAGTCAATCTAAGAAGTAAGTTTTTTGTAAGAATAGGTCTCATATTCAGGAACACTCAAGAACTAAAGCAGAGTCTATGTGCAACTACTGAACTTGATTCCAAGCCCCATACATTATGACACTCTAAATGGAGGGGCTGCATTCTAATTTACTGACATATTGATGAACTTCAGATCTGCCCAAGCCTCTTGGGTAGGCATAGTATTTTTTATTTTCAGGGTCCAAAGAAACTCTTAGGTGGTAAACTAATGGTATGGGCACATGATCAAGTTCCCATAATGTACAGAGTGACTTTACAGAACTGGCTACTCTACAGTAATTTCATACACTTACCCCACAGTAAAAGTAAAGCAGTTTAACCATCAATCAAGTTGGGTAAACTCCCTAGTATTTACTGAATGGTAAGTGCATGCATGTTGGTAGGTTCTATGGAGTAATTTACAAGCTATAAGGTCACATCCTAACCTAATTTGTCCACATGACCATGCTTAGTGAAATTTGCCTAAGAGCTTTGGCCAAATGTAAATTGCTCAAGCAGCACTGAGAAGACACCACTGGACAAGTAAGCCTTCTATATCTTCTGCAGACAAGGGGCTGAGTATATCTTGGATGCAGATGATGACTGACAGACACTGTTGGTTAAATTACAAACTTGCACACCCATGCACACTCTAGAAGTGGATTACAAACAAACAATATTTAAGTATGTATTCCATTTGCTTCTTCCACCTCTCAAAATGTTTAGTATGTTGAAGATATTTTTAAAACAGTGTTCAAAGTCAATAGATTCTTCAATGAGATCAGAATCTTCGACTCAAGATACTGAAATATGAAAAGTTCACAGAAATATGGCTGCCTCATTTTGGCTTGATCGAGTGCATCTCTGGGTAGATTTACGTAAAGTTAGAACAGAATACAAATATTGAAGTCTAAATTAAATATTTTAAGTCTTAACCCCTAAATCAGACAGAAATGTAAATATAAGCAGAGTCCAAGGCCCCAGTGGTAAGGTGGCCTGTGTGGAAGTGCTTCTTAGGCAGCAGATTAAATAATATCATCAGGAATGTGCATCAAACAATTCTGCTAATTATCTGACCAGCTTAGAACAAGCTTTTACAAATGACTTCAGAGACCTGGTCACTTATTTCCACAGAATACTGCAACTTCCACAGGTATTTCTTTAATAATTTTTTTTTAGTTCAATTTAGTAGTGCCACTGAAATTATACACATAAATAACTGCCTGTAGGACTGGGTCCCTAAAAGTTTACTAGTGCATATGCAATGGAATACATTTTGTATTAAGATTCAATTTGTGAAATGCTTAAAAGACTGATAAAGTGATTAATATATGTTATGGTCATAGTAAAGCTACAAATACCTGTAAAGACAATCACAGATAATCTTGTAATAGATGTTCTTAAGTAATTTACTGACCTATCAATAATGCTGAACTACTTAACAAGTCTTTATTAACTATGTATAAATGGAGCCTTAATATCAACTAAGTGTAATGGTTTATTATAAAATTGTATAATAACTGTGCATTGCAAAATGAAAAATATACACCAATATCATATCTCTTCACTATTCTCTATAAATCAGGACATTTTTGTGTCGCTCTGAAGTTTCAAATGATTAAAAAGGTAGCTTGTACAAAGTGGGATTATGCATAAAAGTAAATCATCTTTGTATATTTACCAGTCCTCATCTTCTGGTATTTTGCTTAAAGGTGGATTCAGGCAGTATATATGATAAGCCATATTACATTCATCACACAGAAGTTGCATGTGAGCATCCTGTTTTCCACCACACAGATAACAGGAGCAAAAACGGCATTCCTTATCTGGATCTGCCCTGCAGTGCTTGCACTCGGGGCCACTCTTCCCTGTCAAAACAAATTAGAGAAAGCCAAGTCTTAGAAACGATTCCACATTTATACACATGCCAGCAGGGAGAAGGACAGTTTGTGTGTGGAGAGCTAATGTGGTATAAATACTGTGGGTCCAGAAAATTTCCTGCTTCCAAAAAGTCTCTCACCTAAGAGAGCCCAAGCATAATGGCCACTGGTGAAAACCATTCCCTTACGTAGCTAGACATATAGTAATACCAAATCTAAGAAGCTAATGCCAATATCAACTTATGACCTTTTCTTTAAGACTTACAAAACAATGATTATTTGCCACTCCAGGCACAGTCTGCTCAACCATGCTTTTTGTCACTAGCACAATGGGAAAACAAAAGTTAGTTTTACCTGTCCATCAAAAATAGGCTTTACTCTCTAAAATCTTGACAATTCCTGTTGATTTCAATGGAAGCCTACCAATATGGAGCATATTACAAGTGGATCAATACCTCATTTCAATACAAACAGGTTGAAAATTGAACTTTAGTCAGGGTCAATTTTGATATAAAACTAGGAAAAATATGTACAGGGCTGACATATAAAACAGAAATCAAAACTTTATTTTAATCTATATCATACAACATGTACCTCTCTCCCTGCCCCTCCCCTCCCAAATTAGCTGCTGGAAATTGAGCCGAGCATCTTAAACATGGAAGCATAGGGAGCAGAGGGGCATTTTCTGTGGGAGTCAAACTGCCAAGTCTGCTTGAGGAGACAGGCTGGGCAGTTCTGCTTAGCCAACAGCACCAGCTGAGGGCCCAATCCTACTGGAGCTGAACTGCCAGCCCACCAGGGTGGACACTGCATCCTGCAGCTAGGTTAGGAGAACAGACAGGTGTTTATTTCTGCTGTAGCTGCCTGTGTTTTCACTATGAAAATACTGTACTTACTCATATATAGGAAAGATTTTTTTCTCTTCATTCCACCTTCCAAAAACAAGATGCATATCTTATACACAGGCATATGGTATGTATGGCATCTGTATGACAAATTCAGGGTCATTTTCACATAAATCTGAGAGAAACTGGGCAGCTTTACTTTTATCCTGAGACTAGAGCAAGTTTTTTTCCCCTCAGTTACAATGCCAAGTGAAAGAATAGGTTTAACCATGTCTGCCTATCCTAATTAAAACATTTGGATCAGCCTGTACTATTCCTTTTGCAATATCTGCCCGTATTGCTGTTTTTGTGTAACACTACAAACTCAAACCTACATGTTTTTATACACAAGAAGTTTTTTCCTATGGGAAAATGGTGTTTCTACAATGAAGTATTTGACAATCTGAATCAAAGGGTTTACCCCTGGTGTTTGTATACAAAATGACAATCCATCAACTTCCAAGATTTTTTCTCCCAGTCCAGGAGCACTCTATCTTACAGGCAGGGTCACATATTTTCACCATATTTCTTCCTTAATTTTTAAATATACCTATAACAATAACTCCCATTAGATAACAGTAACAGACCTATGAATAATAAATTACAACTTAAGTAAAAAAACAAACCCTCTGTTAACAGGTAATGTTATCAATATCAACATATAAGTCTGAATGTATTTAAGCTTGTCATTTTTTTTTAATATCAGAAATCAAATTTATAGATAGTGGAAAACTCTTTCTTTCCAGGAAGTGTGCTACCTGCCTGGAGCCTGAATTCAGGATGTCACAGAGAGTCTGCCAAAATTCATCCATCCTTTAGACCACTACCTTTTCCTGCTTGTCCATGTAGGCACCAACAATCATGCCAGGATTGACGCTGACCAGATCAGAGGTGACGATGAGGCTCTTGGCAGGTAGATTAAGGAGCCTGGAGCACAAGTGCTGTTCTCACGGATGCTTCTTGTGGAGGGCAGGGATCCAGGCAGAGACCATCATATCTTGGAAGTAAACATGTGGCTGAGACAGTGGTGTGAACGTGAAGACAACAGGCAGATGTTTTTGGGAGGAAGACTGCTATCAAGAGATGGGATCCATTTGACGAGAATGGAGAACAGCATCTTTGGGCATCATCTGGCCAAACTGGTAAGGAGGGCTTTAAATTAGGTTCCATGGGGGATGGGGATCAAAACCCCCCAGCAACAGAACATGCAGTCCAGAGGGGAAAGAACTCGAAGAAGCAATTCAACTCTGGAGAGGGCCAGAGGACTGCAAGAAGTGGTGCAAAAGGGGAGTGAGGAGATCAAAATGCATAATACATCCATTGTATGCATACAAATGTAAGAAATATAGGGAACAAACAAAATGAGTTAGAAGTTGCAGCCTCTGAAACAAACTACAATCTCATTAGTATCACCAAGACGTGATGGGACAGGTCTTATGACTGAAATGTCAACATGGAGGGTTGCACTCTGTTTCAGAAGGACAGGGCTGGGAGAAAAGGTAATGGTGTTGCCTTGTATGTCAGGAACACATACACTTGTTCTCTGGTTCAGGAGGAGGAAAGCAGCAAAGAAGAATGCATTTAGGTGAAGACGAAAGGTGAAAAATGCAGCACCAGTGTAATGGTGAGGATTTATTACAGACCACCTAATCAAGAAGAGGTGGGTGAGGCACTCTTCAAGCAGGTGACAAATCTATCCAAAAGCTTTGGGACGGTACTGATGGGAGACTTTAGTCTTCCAGACATTTGACAACAGGTGGATGTTCTTGGGAGCAGGACTGCTCCCAAAAGAAGTCAAATGCAGCCAAACAAATAACATGTCAAGCCAGTTCCTAACTTGTATGGAGGACAACTTTCCATTCTAGAAAGTACCTTGTGTTGACAAACAGGGAAGAACTGGTGGAGGATGTGAAAGTGCTGGGTAACTTGGGGCGGAAGTGATCATGATACAATAGAATCCCAGATCCTGAGACAGGGAAGCAAAGCACAACAGGATGCTAGATTTCAAAAAGGTAAATTTCATCCACCTCAAGAAGCTAAAAGAATAGACTGAGAAATAAAAGCACCCAGGAGCTTCTAAGGGGCACAGTATTGGAAGCCAAACAAGAAACAGTCCTGACACAATGAAAGCACAAGACGACAAGAGACCTATGTGGCTGCACAAGAAACTTCTAAAAGGCTGATGTAGTGCCCCTCTTTAAAAAAGGGAAGAAGGAGGACCTGGGAACTGCAGAACGGTTAGCCTCACCTCAATACCTGGGAAGTTACTGGAGAATATCCTAAAGCAGGCCATTTGTAAGCATCTGGAGGAGAAAAGGCAGCCAGCAGTTTTATGAAAAATAAATTATGTTAGACAAACCTGTTCTCCTTCTTCTCCTTCTTACTTAGGTGAATTAAGAGAATGCTGTAGATATAATGTATCTAGACTTCAGCAAGGCTTCTGGCAAGGTCCCACATGACCTTCTCATTAATAAAATGGAGAAATATGGGCTAAATAAAACTACTACAGGGTGGATAGAAAACTGGCTCAATGGCCACAAGCAAAGGGTAATTATTAATGGGTCCATGTCAGAATGTGGAGAGCTTCTGAGTGGAGTGGTAGAGGTCTGTCCTGGGCCCAGTGCTGTTCAACGTGTTTCATGATTTACAAGATTCTTGAGTAAGTCTGCAGGTGAGACAAAACTGAGAACAACTGCAAACACAATGGAGGATGTGTTCAAAAAAATCCTGACAAATCGGAAAGCTGGACTAGAGCTAACAGGATGAAGTTTAGTGTGGACAAATGCAAAGTGCTATACCTTGGAAGGAATAATCAAAACCACAAGTATAAAATGGGTGACATCTGACTGGATGGCAGCACTATGGCAAAGGAAGCAAGAGTCTTGGTAGATCACAGACTCAATATGAGTCTGCAGTGTGATTTCATAGACATTAGGGCTGGAAGAGACCTCGGAAGATCATCGAGTCCAGCCCCCCACCCAAAGGGCAGGAAGTCAGCTGGGGTCATAGGATCGCAGCAAGATAAGCATCCAATTTGCTCTTGAAGATGTTCAATGTAGGTGCTTGAACCACCTCTGATGGCAGGCTATTCTAGACCACGGGTATAGATGGCTATACCTTGTACAGAAGGGATCGAGTAAATCAAAGGGGCGGGGGTGTAGCTCTCTATGTTAAGGAAAGCTGCAAGCTGATATCGGTGACCAGGGTGGACAACTGGAGACCCTCTGGGTTAAAATCCGTGAGGAACACGGCACAGGGGACACAATGGTGGGAATCTACTACAGACTTCCCACCCAAAGTCAAGAGCTTGACAAAGAGTTCACCTGGGAACTGGCTGAGGCCGCATGCTCCAGGACCATGGTTGTCGTGGGTGACTTCAATTACCCAGACATCTCGTGGGAGGATCACTCAGCAAAATCTGAGCAGTTGCAAAGCTTCCTATTGTGCGTGGATGACCTCTACCTGACTCAAGAAGTCTATGGGCCAATGAGAGGTAAAATACTGCTCAACCTGGCACTGGCTCCTGGGGATGACGTAATCGGCGACCTGGTGATCAATGGGAAGCTGGGTGACAGCAACCACGAGCTGATCACCTTCACCATCCGCCGTCAAGTTGGCAAATCAATCAGCAACATGGAAGTCCTTAACTTTAGGAAAGCCAACTTTGACAAGCTTAGGGCCTGACTGACAAGCCTCCCAAGGGACCATGATCCCAGGGAGAGGGGAGTTCAAGAAGAATGGTTGCTCCTCAA